CACCGCCCAGGAACGGGAGTGTGGTGGGGCAAGCAGTGGGAGGCATTTCTCGAGCCTTTAGCCTCACACTTAGTGGGCAGCTGGTGCTCACTCAGAAGGACAGCCTGCTTCTCTGCCCACGAGTGAGCTCCTTCCGTTTAAACCCCTGGCCACAACTTTGCCCCCTGCCCATTCTCTTGATATATTTCTAAACTGTGTTTCATTTCTAACTGCATAGTTGCATGTGGCTCAGTAAGACAAACTGAGTGGGTTTCTAGTTTTCTGGGCCTATGTATACAAAGAAACAAAACTGGGCGATTAACCTCTAGCATGTGAGAACCAACTGTATACAAGGCAACTAATAGCTAACACTTATTGTTCTTGCCATTTATCTGGCACTGTTCTAAATACATCTTGTACTGATTGCTTTACCCTTCCAAAAACCCTGAGATAGGTACTATTCTCATCCCTATTTTTCAGATGAGGAAATTGAGGAACAGAGAGGTTAAGCATCCTGCCCATGGCTACACAGCTAGGCAACAGTAGAGGAGAATACCAACCCAGGCAGTCTGGCTCCAGAGTTCAGGAATGTAACACACGGTGCTGCCTGCCTCACATGCTGGAGCGGTTGCTAGAGATAAAGACACCGCAAACACAACACAAAGCAAACACAAAAGCCCTTCTAGTTTGGGGGAGGTCCAAAATATACTCATTTCACAGCACAGAGCCCTGAGGCTAATTTGTACATAGAAGGTGCACTTGGTTTGGGCTCCAGCATGTCCTCCCAGATGACCTGGCTGTATCCCTAATGACAAAGCCAAATGAAGAAAGATGTGGAAATTCTTCAAACATGCCACACCTTGCAAATCGCATTCATTGATCAGGTCCAAATACTTGAAGTAGCCACACGTGTGTGTTTTGTGCGTGTGCACGGGGCTGCCTGAGGGGTTGGTCATTCCCCACTGCCCCTCCATGCTTTGCTTGCACCCGACCCAGGCTCACTGCGCTGTGTGGCTGCACCTGCCTCCCCTACCAGTGTTCAGAGTGTGTGCCCTCCTGGTGACACGGGCTCATTTGCTCTTTCAGGACCTACCCGACTTGGAAGATGCTGATACAGGCGACTCTTTGGAAGACAAGGACAAGGTTATAACACAGGTTTTCCCCAAATCAGCATAAGCCCACTTTCCCTTCCAGTCTTGCCATGTACAAAGCATATCACTTTAATTCGAAAGTAAGATGCTTTTTGTGCTGAAATCATTGCACACCTGCTATATTTTCACCTTTCAAAAGGAAATGCAGCTCTTGGCCGTTGCCCCCCACCCCCCTTCTTTAAGGTTTTATGATTAACCACTGGGGTTTTCTTAAACATATTTTATTACTGATCTTTAATAACTATGTACTCCCTGACATTTTTCTGCTTTTCTGATGTACTTAAATGTCCATCTTATATAGCATGACTACAGCAATACAGAGAGAGTAGGAAAGGAGAAGGGGGGAAGGAGGAATGTGTGAGGCACAATGGGGTGATCGCCCAATCTGACCTGACCCTCCTCCCTCCAGCATTACTGAGAGCCTGTGTGTGCCAGACCCAGGCCCACAGGAGAGGAAAGGAAGGATAAGACAGAATTTGTGCAGGACCTCGTCACTGAGGAAGGGACCAGACACGGGACCACAGTTCCCATGGGGCCTGACCTCCAGGGGGCTAAGTCCGGGTGGCGGGTTAGGTGTGTCAGAGGCCAAGACTCAGAGATGAGCCCATTCAGGGCCCCGGCAGGGTGTGGGTGTAGCCAGAACAGATGGGCAGCGTGGAGACCCACCAGAGGGTGAGAAAGAAATGTGGACATGGTTGTAGAGCTCACCACGACTTGGGGGCTCAAAATAGCTGGCTAAGGGTGTCCACCCCGAGACCCAACTTTCCAAGGGGCAGGGCTCTGCTCCCGTGGCCCTCTCCTGTATGTGGCAATCGAATATTTAGTGCTGGATAAAAGTGGAATTAGCTCTGTGCATTTCACAGTGATTCCAGTGACAGCAGAAATGTTCAAAGGCATCTTTTTTAAAAAAACAGATGTGCTTTCCAAAGATCACAACCATCTCGGGCTTGAGTGACGACAGTGATCCTGAGCTGGACGACACCTCACTCCCGGTGCTGGAGAGCACGTCCACACACACCCTTTCCAACATATTCGCAATCTCCAAGGACACCGCCAGGAAGGCTGAGGCGCCCTATACGCACATATTTAAAGAAGCAGCAGAGAGGGACTTGGAGACCCAAAGTGGGGACACCACGTGCCCACGCCCGCTGATTCAGGAGCTCGACGACGACGAGCCTTCGGACCAACCACCGACACCCCCAACCTGCAAAGGGGACGCCCCACCACCCCCTTCCAGTGACGGGTACGATGACCTACCTTCGGCCTCTCCTCCAGGTAATGCTGCCCTACTCTCAAGGCATTCCCAGGCGGGTGGCATCTCCGGGCTTCTTAGGGGCATGCAGATCTTGGCAGTCAGGTTCAGCAGGTGTCGATGGGGCTGGGGAGCCTGTTTTCACCCCTTTCCTCACCATCCCAATCCTCAGCCTTTCCAGACCAAGGCTTCTAAGGGAAGGTGTGACACCACAGCTGGGAGTGTGGGGATGCAGGCCTGTGGCCCCTCCACGGTGAAGGCCCAGAATCGGGCAGGACGGGTGAGACAGTGCTGGGCGGGGAGGTTGTCCAGGCAGGGACAGTGGTGAGCAGCTGGCTGGGTGGGACAGATGAAGCCACAATCTGACGTATTAGCCTGGCCTGGTGATGGGGCCCGAGCCTGTGACCAGGGAGATGCAGTTGTGGGGGTGCTGGCCAGTGCTTACTGATCACAAGCAAACTGGTGGATATGTATTCAGCAACTGCAGTGGGAACACAAACCTAGACAATTCCTGCCCTTCCTCGACACTCTCAGGGGCCAGGTTTCTCTCGGGACGCCTGCTTGAGTGGCTGGCTCTAAGCCTGCCTGTGGGAAAAATGAGGGGGTGGCCATATGTCCTTTCCCAGGAACACTGAGCCACCTTTCCTCTTAGGAGCAGTCTGAGACGCAGCCTGAGGAGCCCACAGTGCCTGAGGATCCCGCAGTGCCCGAGGTGGGGGCAGACCTGGAAGACATTGAATTTGGCTTGGACTGAACCCCCAGGCGGCCCCTCTGCCCTTGCACTAACGGAGCCAGCAGCGAGGTGCAGGTCACCCCCTGGGCCGGGCTCCCTTCCTTCTCCAATTCCTGAAAGTGCTCTGGGGCCTGGGCTGCGGCGTGTCCTGTCGCACGGCTCATCCCTCCCATGCTCTCCCCCTGCAGTGTCGGGCAGCACTGTTCCTTGTTCTCAAAGCACAACCCATTCCCCCCGTTACTTGTGGTATAAATTGTACAACCGTCAGTGTCTCATTTGAACATTATAAACATTTGAGTATTCCCGTGAGGTAATGTGTTGTCAAATTATTTAATATCTGCGTGAGTCACGTGAGCCATTTCATCAGACACCCTGAGATAAGGCCATTCCTCTCTCCATGTGTGATTGATCTGGAGCAGATCCGGCGTCCTGTGCAGCTTCAGGTGGGTGTTTTCCTCACCGGACAGCACCATCTCCCACCAGCTACAGAGCTTTGGGGGAATGAACTTTATGCATTAGACATCAAAAGCAACGTAAGTGCCCTAACCGGTTTGGCTCAGTGGAGAGAGCATCCGCCTGCCGACTGAAAGGTCCCAGGTTCGATTCTGGTCAAGGGCATGTACCTTGGTTGTGGGCACATACCCAGTAGGTGTGCAGGAGGCAGCTGATCAATGTTTTTCTCATCAATGTTTCTAACTCTCTATCCCTCTCCCTTCCTTTCTGTAAAAAATCAATAAAATATATATTTTTAAAAAAGCAACGTAAGTGAATACCTCCAAGTCCTAGAAACTATCATTCAAAACCATGCTCAGGTGACAAATTTATTCAATCCCTAAAGATGGGTCCAAAGTGTCTCCCTCTACAAAACATCAGCTCCTGGGAGAAACTGTACCACACACAACCGAGCCCACAGCAGCTGCCCACACCCACCGACCACCAGGCACCAGCAGCTCCTCAGTGTCTCGTTTCACTGTCCCGACCACGGCGAGGAGCTGACTAGGGGACACAGGGGACACAGCCTGCATGAGGCGGAGCCAAGGGCCTGACTAGAGCCCCCTCGTCAAGCACAGTGCTGCCTCCTGACGATAGACCCTCAGGACAGGACCGCTGGGGCCGTCAACCCGCCTCTGGAAGTATCTTCAGGAAAAGGAGAAACTATAGTTTTGTTGTTCCTATTCCTCCTACTTGGCTCCAAATCACGTTTGGACGCCTCCCATCACAGTGGCCCTCAGGAAGCAGGTCTGTACCCTGAGACTGTTCCCTCTCCACTCCCTAAGTTCCAGCCACAGAAGGCACAGCTGGTCCGGGACCAGGGGCTCCCCAGAGGTGGGGGAGCAGCTTCCCGGGCCCTCAGAAGCCCATGCGCGGCTTCTTCCGGTGTGGCTGAGAGCCAGAGAGGACGCGCACCTGCTGCCTGGAGGGGGTGGCCCAGATGCTGGAGGTCTGGGAGGAGGGCGCAGTGGCACCTTCCGGGGTGTCCCTGTGGGGTGGCAGCTCAGCTGTGCAGTCCCGGAGGGTCCGCTGTCTGGAGGGGGTGGCCCGGGTACTGGAG